GACTTGTTTTCTGAGTGTTGCACTTTGCTGGGTTTAAGGACTGTGTATAATCAACAACAACAAAAAAGTTACATAAATAAATGCATTCAATAAAATATTATGACAAACAACAAGTCTGCAAGGTCACTTGAAAGGCTGACCTTCAGCCACTGGACTAGGCGATGCAAATGTTGGCATAGAGCGACTGCTTGTGAGGTTTTCAATCTGACTCCTCAGGAACTTGCGGTCCTGCATCAGGTCCTCTACCTGTCTCTCCAGTGCAGCAATGCGCTCTTGTTTGCTCTCTAGCATGCACTGCAGCTTGGTGATGGTCAGCAGCACTTTTGGGGGCAGGGTCTCCACTGGAGGGGCAGCTAGAGGAAGGGGAATCAGCCAAGTGGAGAACATCACAGATTACATGCTTTATTGGCTGCAACTCAGTCTTTAACACAGGACTAAAGATTACAGTATAAGCTATCTGACAAATGTGACTCTTGCCTACCTGACATGGCACTGCTGGGTGTGTTGTCCTGAACAGCATCTGCCGAGGCTCCTGTTTGAAGGTTTTCCCACTTGATGATGCGGAGGTCGTCCTGCTCCTGCTTCAGCCAGCCCAGAGAGCTGAGCCTGTCCTTGGTCCTCACAGAGCTGGAGTCAATCTCTATGCAGGACGAATAACCTGATGGCTCCTGCTGCCACATGGATGACATTGCTTCACACCTGGGAATGTACAAAAAGTGTATTATACAGGTTTGTATTACAGAGAATATGAATTCAGTGCAATGTTTTAAAAGCTACACAGTCAGTTAGACGAATTTTCCCAGTAGCCACTTGTAGTACTGCAACAAAAAAAAATCCCCCTGTGGTCCAAAGACCATTTTGTCCATAGACCACAATGATAAAAGAGAGGTCTGTAAAACAGTCACAGTCAGGTCTCATAACACAGCCATAGCTGGATACTTTATTATAAGATGGTGCCCCTTCTTCCCACTGAAAGTTGGCTTGCCTGGTGCATATTTGGGTTTGCTTCTGCCCTGTGCAGCCTAATGCACAGGCACATTAGTGTTTCCCACTTGCTGCTGTTTTATCACTTTTTTCTGACATTTCATAGACTGAACAATTAATTAGGAGCCTTACAGATTTATTATTAAAAACTGCTGCTTGCTGCCCTAGAAATTCATGATAGCCTACACATCAAATTAAAACATCAAATCACCATGGGTCATACATTAATTAAGAATTATGAATTATTTAAGTATGTGTTTTGTAATCTCATTATAAATGTTTGCCAAAGATGGTCACTGGCTGCAGGGTTGATGTCTCTATAGCCTAAAACCGGTTCATTCAGATGCTTGACAATTCTATTTCAAATGGCAGGACAGACGAAAATACAGGAAGTGGACTATTACTTCATGTTTCCATGGAGATGGTGATGGACTCTTCTCTTTACCATGTGCTGCTGCAGTACTCAAACACAACTAACGGGTGAGTGCTGCAGTGATTAATCTCGTCCCTTACATAACATGTTAATATGAGAACAGCTCTCACAGAAATTAACAACCACAGTACCGGTTACATTTGAAGTAATAATGTATTAGGAAAATGCCAATGTCAGTGCGATAACAAAACGACAATGTGACCATATCTATTTTTTTTTTTTTATCACTGTTGATTTATTACAAGGAAAATAGGGGTTTATGTATGTTTAAGTGTTTTTAAAAAGCATGGCAGAAATCATTTAACATAGAAAGCTATACAGTTTGTTGGGCTACAAAGGTCCAACCATTTCTTCTCGCAGTGGTTTTAATTAGCTTCTACCAAGATGGATGCTAATGACTGTAAAGCAAGTAAAACCACAGGACAACGTACCTTCACGAAAGTCCAGCGGTAAAACTGATGTAGCTAATGTTCCTGTGCTTGTGTTGTTGTACGCAGAAATCTCACTTCGAATAAATGCCTGATTTTTCATACATATAAACAGAGACGAGTAAATAAACGCGAAATGACATACATGTCTGAGAGGGGGGCGGGGCCAGACAGAAACATTGCGCTGCCTTCAGCTGCCCGACGAAAAGTCGGACTTCTCACAACTCCGGGAGGTAAAAGGAAATTTCGATGTTGTTTTGCCTTTCGGTGTAGTGCTGCCCTCCTGCCATGTAACTCTTCTTCTTCTTCTTCTTCTTCTTCTTCTTCTTCTTCTTCTTCTTCTTCTTCTTCTTCTTCTTTCGGCTGTTCCCGTTAGGGGTCGCCACAGCGAATCATCTGTTTCCACCTAACTCTATCCTCGGCATCCTCTACTCTCACCCCAGTTAACTTCATGTCCTCTTTTAGCACATCCATATATCTCCTCTTTGGCCTTCCTCTTGACCTCTTGCCTGGCAGCTCCATCTCCAACATCCTTCTACCAATATAACCACTATCCCTCCTCTGCACATGTCCAAACCATCTCAATCTGGACTCTCTGACCTTGTCCCCAAAACAGCCGACCTGAGCTGTCCCTCTGATGTGCTCATTCCTAATCCTGTCCATCCTGGTC